GTTGTTGTACCAAGGTTTGAATCTCATTGTTAACACATATTTTTTATAGTTTCACTTCAGAGCACCCACAACCTTAAAATCGTAGATCCGCCACTGAGTTTGTATGTTCTTTTAATCGTTAATCGAGTGAATTTTAAAAATTCAAGCAGAGTAGAAAATCATAAAGGTTTTAATCTCCAGAAACCTCACGTACAGAAACTATATAAATTTCTTAAGATTGTTAATACTTGTATCAAGGTTAGTCAAAAATACAGAAAAAGAAACAAGATGAGATAGACAGAGAAATACTTTTAATCCGTTTTATCTTGGGAGAAATTAAACTGTAACCTCGGATACATGTGAGGGGATTAGATTTCTTAAAGAGAAGCAGTAGTTACTCGGATTAAAAGTATTTTTTCTATCTATTTTCTCTTGTTTCTGTTTTTGTTTCTGTATTTTTCACTAACCTTAATACAAGTATTAACAATGTTTTCACAATCTGTTAAATCCTTACCTATCGATCATTTTGTATATGACAGAGAAGCCACGATATGGCATTATATCAACATTGATCATCCGCAAAACTTAAACTTCATTATTTATTGTCCTCTCAAATTAAACATGGGTTTCATTATATTGATATTATTTTACAGGATCATACCTTACACGATTTGGTATTCGTGAAACTAATAAATTTATATAGGGCAACTTGAAAAACATAGTATATAATATGTTAGCTACATTGGCAGTACTTAGCTATATTCTAGCACTTGTCTTGAGCTCCATATCCATTGGGTATGGGAGATTTAGGTTTCCTTGGTTTGTACCAAGTTGCAGAATTTAGATAGATGGCAAAGTTTATGACTCCTAAGGCAGCAAGAAGCCAATAGAACAAGTCTAGCCTTCCATAATTAATATTGTCTGCAAGCCAGCCTTGAGCTGTAGCATTGGTTTTGGTCGCCTTCTTGATAACGGAGACTAAGAAGCTGCTAATGAAAAAACCAAGTGAAAGGGTTGTCAAGAAAAGGCCAGTACTCATTGTCTTCATCCCTTTGGGTGATTGTGTTATAAAGAAATCGAGTTGTCCGGTGTATATGAAGGCTTCCCCAGCTCCTACAAAGAAGAACTGTGGGATCAACAGGAATACACTAATTGGCAAAGTTGAAGTGTTGCGCCCCGCTGATTTTGCAACCGTCAATCTTTTCTGCTCTGCTAGTGCAGCTGCTGCCATTCCTATTACTGATAAAACAAGGCCAATGGCAATTCTTTGTAGGTTTGTAAAACCTGGAAGCCACACGCATCATCATATGATTAAGTTAATTAATTACTAGTTCACATAAATATATGCATGCAGCTTTACCTGGTTTTCCTTTCCATTTCTTCCAAAGTGGCATGATAATTCGGTCGTAAAGAGCCAAGGTGATTAAGATGGCTGCGACAAAGAAGACAGTGAGAGATCCAGCTGGAATTTGGAAGTTGCCAATTGTTCTTTCCATGGTAGAAGCTTGTTCAACAGAAAATGTAATCATTTGTGCGTAGGTGGTCCAGAATATTATAGTGGTGGCCCAAATTGGGAGCAACTTTGCCATCATTTTCACTTCCTCAACCCTGGTCACTGAGCTAAGCTTCCATGGATTTGGAGCAGAGCATGATGCATGCTCCTCGAAATCTCCTTCAGTTACGATAGCAGCCTTGTCCAATATTCTACATAGCCAGTATATAATTCAAGATACATACTAATTAAAATTAAGCATAACATATTATTTGTGTTAAATAATTAAGCTAACCTAAATTCTTGTGTGTGTTGGATTCTGCTAGCCTCTGGAGTAGACGTACTCTCGTAAAGCATGGCAGCATCATATGGGAGATCCAATTTCCTCTTCCTTATAGCAGCAACAATGACTTGAAAAATGTGGACAATGGGACTTCCTGCACTTTTCTTGTAACGGTACCTTTTAGAACCGAGAAGGAATATTATGATGGCAATGAACATGGATAGTGAACAAACACCATATGCCCAAATCCTTCCAACTTCATCTTGGATGTAAACAAGCACTGTAACTGCTGTCAAAGTTCCTAAGCTGATGAAGAAGAAGAATCTGTTGAAGAAATATGTCATTTGTGCTTTTTCCTTGTCATCTTTCTCATCAAATTGGTCGGTTCCGAATACTGAGACACTAGATTTTAAGCCACCAGTACCCAACGCTATTAGATATAAAGCTAAGTACAGTATTCCCATTTGAAAACCATTCGCTGGTTGGCAATTGAGATTGCATGGAGGGGGTCGCAGTTGGGGCAGGGTGGTGGCCACTGTTAACATCCCAGTTCCCTGAAGCGAAAATAGTACAATATATATATGATCAAATTATTCCAATATATATATATATATATATATATATATATATATATATATATATATATATAT